CTCGCTTCAGCCCAGTCCCTCCTGTCAGCCCTGCTATTACCCCTGGTCCTACAGCAGGCCGGGGGGGCGTTTGGGAGGAGATTCAGCTGCCCTCCTGTGTGTCTCAGAGGCCCAGCTTTGGCCCCCACCTGTGTTACCTCCCATCCAGGCTCTGTCTCCCCATCCTGCCCCCCACCTGCACACACTCCCACCCCCATGATAGCTCAGGACACTCCTGCCCCGAAGAGTAGCTGTCTCTTCCAGGTGACCTGGGCCAAGGCGATGGGAGTGAGTCCCTTTCACGGAAATCAGGGGCATCTATACCTTGTAAAACCCGGGAGAGTTCACTGGGAGTGAGGACGACATTTATGAACCTTAAAAATTGTTTTTTGAAGAGGAAAGCTTCTCCTCGGATCCCAGGTTTGTTGTGAAAAGCAATGGTCTCCAGACAAAAGGACCACAGAGTCCTCCTCACGGCCTAATTACTGTGTGAGCAAGGGTGGCTCTGTTTTCTTCAAATTCACATTTTTTTCTAATTCTGAGGGACACACGTCCGTTGTAGAACATCGGTAGGGCATTGCTTCACAATGAAAACTGAGACTACGCTGCACAGAGTTGGCATCTCGCTCTTTTTTACTGAACATCTTATTTTGAACATTTTCGCATGTCGTTACTCTTCAAAGTCATAGTCCTGATGGCCACACAAATGTCTCCGCCTGTGCCGTGGGCGCAGGTGTGCTGTGAAGTCCAGTACGAGGGCCCCCCTGTGCCCTCACGTGGTCACTCATGCGGCGGGGTCCTCAGCGCACCTGCAGGTGTGAGTGGCAGCCGGACACGAACTCCTGCCAGGCCTGCCCGGGGCAGGAGGCCATGGGGGCGCAGATGGTGGACCCCATCTGGAGAAGACAGTCTAGTTTCCAGAGCTGCCTCTTCGGGGCGCCCAGGCCTCGGGTCCAAACTCACATTCCTCACCCCGGGCTATTTTGCCATTTCCTTTCATGCTAAACCAGAGGGGCTATTTTGGAAACTCCTGTAAGCAAACTGAGCCCTGGCTGGTGTTTGAGCGGATATGAAAGAGCCCTAAGTGAGGGGCTCAGGCATAAAAGCTGCCCAGCCCCGGGAGCCCAGCCGTTAAATTTAGAAGCCTCACCTCCAAATGAGGTGAAATTGCAGGTTCCCTCTGGCGGGCGGTGGCTTTGGCCAGCAGTGAGAGGACAGATTTAGTGGAGTGGGCTCCGGCTCCCCCCAGCCACACCTTGGAGGAGAGGCCCAGGACAGTCCCCAGTGTCTAGGGAGCAGCTGGCTGTGTGAGAAGCCCCCCCAGCTGCCTGTCTTCCCTGTGCCCACAGGCTGCGTCCCAGTGGCACTGCCAGCGAGTGCTGCCCAGATTGCCAGGCCAGAGAGACGCAGCGAGGGACACTCGAGAAGAGGCCGTCGTGTCTGCCACTAAAGGTTTGGGACCTGCATGACTTCTGTGCCTCTCTCCTCTCCCAGGGACCAGCCAGGCCTCTGGCTAGTCTCTCATGCCCTGAGGAGTGCCAGCTGCCCAGGGCTGCCCTGAGTCACCTGCCCACAGTCCAGCAGCTAAAGAGTTAATGCCAGCCATAGCACGGGAGGTGGGAGGAGGGGGGCTGCAGGTGGAGGTGCCCAGCCTTTGTTCTGGGTCACAGTACCCCTGTCTTGGGTCAATGATTAAACAGGAATATAACCTTTGGTCAAAGGTGACCAGCCTTCAGTGGGGCTGCTCAGGAGCTGCCCACAGAGGGTGCTTGAGATTCCAGGGGTCTCAGTCAGGCCATCCCATCTCCAGCTGGGTGAAATGGTAGGAAAGCTGACTTGGGTCCCAAGGGGACCACAGAAACCTGGGCCTCTGCACACACCCTGAAGCCTGCAAGGCATGAGGCTTGATTTTCCTGGGCTACACCCTCAAACCCCCCCTTCACGAACCCACTTCAATTCTGGGGCCTTTGCCTCCCCCTCATTTGGGGTCTGGCACTCATGGGAAGGGGCCAGGCTGTGGAGTCCATCCTGCCCAGGTTCAAATCCCAGCTCTGGGGTTTCTTACCTGTGTGACCTTGGATGAGTCATTTTCCCTCCTCTCTGAGCCTCGGTTTCTTTATCTGCAAAATGGAAATAATAATAATACTTGCTTCCTAGAGTGTGGAAAGAACTGAATGAGATTTTAAGCCCGTGGAACAAGTAGCAGACAGAGTGTGGGCTACCCAGAGTCGGCCATCAGGAGCTGCTGCTCTTGTAATAATGTGCCATTGCAGCACAGCCGTGCTCATTCATTTACAAATCGTCTGTGGCTGCTTTTGCTCTAAAACTGTAGAGCTGAGTCATTGTGACCAAGACCGTATGGCCTGCAAAGCCAACAAGATTTACTCTCTGGTTCTTTGCAGAAAACCTTTGCCCACCCTCGGAGTCTAGCACGTGGTGGAAATTCTTACCTTTTATCATCAGCTTTGTTCTCCCACTGCTTGCACTCTGGGCTACACGGCCAGGTGACACGGTGGGAGCAGTCTCCACCTTTCAGTCTTTGTCCTCTGGTCCCAGGAAGATGTGCTGTGAATGTGCCCCCAGCCCTGGGCTGGCTCCAGAGTCTGCGTCCCCACCACTGACCTGGGTGATCTCCTCCCTGCACCCTCCTCATTCCCTTGCCCAGCTTTGGGGGTTTGGGGGGGGCAGTCAGGCAGTTTGAGAAGGTTCACCCAGAGCAGGTGCTGAACGTAGTGGGGATGGGGTTCTCCATAAATGTTTAACCATCAGCAGGAAAAAAGCCCTAATTCATAGCGCTCGCTGATTTTGTGGTGTAAATATTCCTACCGTGTCTGATCTCAAGCTACTAAATTCCTGAAAATGTAACAACAGACTCTCTGAGCTGGTCTAAGCCGCAGCAGCGCAGAGCAGGTGGGGGCCGTGGAGACCTCCCTGTGGGGCTGGGGCAAACCCTAGGGTGTGGGACACCTGACCATGCACAGTGAGAAATGCTGGCATTGGCTTCGGTCAGGCTCCGGCTCTAAACCTGGCTCTGCAGCTTTCGAGCTGGGTCCCTGGGCCAACCTTGTCACCTCTCTGAGCTTTAGTTTCTTCATCTGTTGAATTACATTTGCAATAGCTCCTAGGCCTAAGGGGGTTGTGTGGATTTAATAAGATAATTTACATAAGGCATTTAGCCAGGCTGGCTTAATGAGCACTCAATAAATGATGCCTCCATTACCAGATTGCCTCAACCTCCCCATCTCTACACAGCGCTGCTGTTCATGAATTTAGAGCAGGTGACAGTCCCTGCCACTGGGGCTTGCCACACAGTGAGTGCTCAGCACACGCAACCAGCTTCCCCTATCAGGGCTGGAAGTCACTCACTGGCTTCTCTGTCTCAGCAGCTCACCTCCAGGGCAGGGGTCTTGGTCAGAACAAGGGCACAGAGACAACCAGCTCTTTTTGAGTGTCTCTTGCGTTGTGTGCTCTCAGCTCACTGGCCCCTTGGACCTTTTCTGAATTTCCATTTTACAGATGTGATCACTGAGGCCCAGAGCCTGTGAGTGGCACTGTGACAGCCAGGCTTTGGGCCTAAGCCTGGCTTTTCTGTTTCCAATGCTCTCCTGTGGGGCGGTGGGGTGGGGGATGAATAAGAGGGGCAGGCTTGTGGGGGCTGCACAGATCTACTGGGGGTTCAGAGTGAGGGCTGACAAACAAAAGGCAGGACTGGATGCTGGACAGATGTGCCTCGAAAGAGAACATTACTCAGGCAGAGGCCCCAGCCTGTGCAAAGTGTGGAGCCTGGACTCAGTTGGGGGTGGAGGGGATGTGGAATGTAGTGGACTCACCAGTGGGAATATGAGGGAGTTGGTGGAGTGGGGCCTTTTTACAGGTTTAGCCGGGGCAGTGGGGTCCTGGAATTGGTGGGCTAACCCCACCCTGGCTGAGGAGTGAGGTATGAAACTGTAGCAGCAGAGATTTAGGTTAGATATGGAGGAGAGCTTTCCGATCATCCGTGCTGGAAGATACCAGGCCACAGTCCCAAGGGATGTGGTGGCATTTTTCCAATCTAGAGATGGTTTGGAAAAAAGAGAAGACAGCCAGGGTTCTAGGCTGGCCTCATTGCAGCTCGGGTCAGAGATGGGGCAGTGGAGCAGAGGCTTCTGGAGGCCTCTGATGTCAGCAGCCTGGCTTATATGAATTGGGCTTTGTCACTCCCTGCTCAAAACCCTCCCATGGCTCCCAGTTACCCTCGCCCAATTGTAAGGCCGAAGTCCTCCCTGGGGCTACCAAGGCCCTCCATGGCCTGCGTTCTGCTGGCCTCTCCGACCTCACCTGAAGCCATGCCCCAACCCCCTGAACTTGTATCAGATTCTGGATTATACCATGTCATCTGCACCTCCAGGCCTTTACCAAGCTGTTCCCTCTGCCTCAGATACCCTTCCCTACGCCCCTACCCCCCTTCTCTCCTCCTTAGCCTTTCCGTCTCAGTTCTGGGTTGCCTTTTCTGTGGCTGGGCCAAGGGCCCCCTGGGTTCTCCCACCCTTCACTGTCGACGCCCTACTATAATTGTCTGGTGGCTCGTTGGCCTCCTCACTGGAATGGGAGCCCTGGAGACCAAGAACTCTGCCTGTCTGCTCAGTGCGTGTCTGCAGCATGGGGTCTGGCACACAGTGGGTGCTCAGTGAGGATTCCTGGAGGGCTGAGGGTTACTGGCAGGGAGGAGTAGCAGAGGGGAGGTGAGACGAGCTAGGTCCAGAAGCCGCTGTCTCCCCCGCATGAGGACAGAGCATTGCTCAAGCATTAAGAACCTGAACAGAGTACAGAGACCTGGGTTTGAACCTCACTCTTGCCACTGCTCCCAAGCAGGTTCCCTAACCTCACCAAGCCTCAGTTTTCTCATCTGTGAGCTGGGGACAGTACTGGCAGGCCGCTCTCTGTTCTAAGGGCCACAGAGGCCATAGTAGAGGATGGCCAGCCTTGGGTCAGCTCTCACCAGATGGCAGTTTGAGGCTGACTCTCCTATCCTCTCTCTGTAGGTGACAGCCATGTCGGTGAGGGTGCGGTTCCTGTCCTCCGGGGACGCAGGGGCTGTGGGGGTCGTGGGCCGGAGTGCCTCCTTTGCGGGCTTCAGCAACGCACAGAGCCGCAGGATCGCGTAAGTTCTGCCAGTGGGATGGGTGTGGGGCTTGATCCAGGGCTGGGCTGGGATGGCAGGGACATCCTCGCTCTCCTGCCAGGCCTGCAGCCCAGGACAGAGCGCGTGGTGTGTGGTATGTGGTGTGTGTGTGTGACTCTTGGTGTTGGGAGAAACCTACCAGGCCCACTTGGCAGAGCAGAAACCTGAGGCTCAGAGAGGTGGAGCTGCTTTCCCAAGGTCACACAGCCAGACTGATTGAGAGTTGAAACTTCAGCTCCTGGGGGAGGGGTTAGGATGGAATGTTCTTCCTGTTTGAAAAAAATGGAAAATGGGGTCACCTCTCCCAGCTCTGTGACCTGGGGCAAGTGACTTCACCTTCCTGAGTCTCGGTTTCCTCATATGTGAAAAGGTAATCACAAATGTCCCTCCCTCACGGCTTGTCGTGAAGGCACAATGAGGTGGCACAGGGCAAGCAGCCGGCACAGGCTGGCACACGCTGGCACACAGCAGGTGCCTGTGGGGAGTTTCAAGAGGAGGAGCAGCCTCTGTGGAGACGGGCCTGGGGTCAGTGCTGACCCTCTGGACGTGAGTTCATGGCCGCTCCGCCCTGTGTCTCCCGCAAGAGGAAGGTGCGTTTCTGCTTCGGGGGCCACTGTCTCGCCAGCCCAAGCCTGCTGGGCCCTGGCTCCGCAGCTCTGAGTTTAGCCACACTGACCTCTCTCCCCTCCAGCCTTGGCACAGGCTGTGCCCTCCACCTGGGACTCTCTTCCCACCCTTCACCTGGCCAGTTCCTGCTTAAGCTGCTTTGGACCTTGGCTTCGATGCCATGTCCTAGGGCACCCCCTGGGCGCCAGACCAGGCCTCGCCCTCCCATCGCTCTTTCCCTCGGTGTGACAGGTGCACATTAGAGCCCCGTGAGGCCTGGCCGGACAGTCAGGCCCCCCAGCTTGTCACCTTGTCCCAGGCTGCTCAGTTTCGAGGTGTTGCTGGAAGGAGTGCATCTTGAGGTGTGCCTGGAAGGAGTGCATCTCAGGGTTGAAATTCTGGAGTGTCCCAGCTGGAAGCACCCTTAGGAATCCCTAATTCACTCCACAAATATGTATGGCACACCCACTCTGGCCAGCCCCAGTCCCAGGCTCCAGGAAGAGACCCAGGCCCCACCCTCCTCCGGGGCAGCAATCACTGAGACAGATCCAGTTGTGGGGAGTGCTGTGGAAGAATTGAAATGGGGGGGGCAGGGTATCAGAAGAGGCCCTCCACGAGGCAGGAGCACGTTCAAGTGAAGGCCAGACAGAAGAGAACGAGCTGGTCACATGAGGACAGGGTGCAGGGGTGAGGAAGCCTGTCAGGTGGATGAAACAGCAAGTGCAAAGGTCCTGAGGTGGGAATGAGCCTTGAGGGACAGAAAGCAGGCTTGTGGCTGGCGTGTGGGACAGTGGTGACAGAAGGAGGAGGACCCTGCTGGGCCTCGTGGGCCACCATGAGGACATTCACAGTGTGAGGGGAGCCACTGAAGGGCTGAAGCAGAGGAAACCAAGGCCCTAAAATAGGAAGAAATTTGGCCAAAGTCCCAGAGGGATGAATGTGCCCCTGACCCCATCCTCCAAGAGGAGAAAGTGCAGATGCCGCAGTGAGGAAGGCACACAGTAGGTGCTCCATAAATGCTGCTGAAAGGCTAAGTGTAAACTGTCCAGGGAATGATGCTGTTTCTTGACTGAATGAACCATTTCTGAACTGCCTCTTCCTGGGCTTCATCCGGGTTCCCCACATCATGGGGTCTGTAGTCAGGGCTGCTGAGGATAGCTGTGCAAGTTGCCCAGCCAAGGGGGCCTCGAGCCAGTGACCCTCCCAAGCTGAGTGCCCTGGCACGGAGCTGGTGCACCCAGAAAGCACTTTTCTCTAATCACAGAGGTGCTGTGGGGACTCTGTCCGTGTGGTCTGGCAGAAGGAGGGCCCTGCAGACTGTCACAGGGCCCCTCAAGTAGATTTAACCCTCTGCTGTCGCCATGTAGAAATTCTTGTGTTGAACAAAGGTCTCGGTGTTTTCTTTTGCCTGGGGCCTCACGAATTCTGTAGCCGGTCCTGCCTGCAACTCCCCTCCTGTCAGGCCTTTGGGGTCCTCTGGACTTCCGGCATCCATAGGAAATGTCCCCATGGGCCATCCTCCAGCCTCTTGCTGACCCCTCCTGGATTCCCAGGGTCAGCCTTCTGGGAGACAGAGGACAGAGAGGATCCAACTGGACGCTAGAGCTTATCGGTCAGCAGTAAGGGTAAGAGGCAGGTCCTGTCAAGTCTGCATCCTAGTCCAAGAAAGAGCGCCCTGGTGGCCATAACTGTCTTGGGGGCTCCTCCTCCCTGGGGTCCCCCCTCGGGGAATTCTGGAGGATGCCTCGCCTAGGCAGGATCTGCAGTCCCTGAGGGGCCACCATCTGGCCTCAGCCTTTGCAGTCCCCTTGTCCCTGGGTGAGGAAGAAGCTGCCCAGGACCATAGGAACGAAGTGCATCTATTTTTAACTTCCTGTCTCTGCCCAACTCCCAGGGGTCTAGACCCTTGGCTCCAGGACTGGACAGCCTGGACTGGGTTTCAGGCCTCACCTCTGGCCTTGTTTCCCAGGTAATTCAACCAGGCTGAAACACAGCCACATTGCCAAGGCACTGAGCTGCTGGCACGGGTCAGGTAAAATAACCTTAGATGCAGGGCAGGAGAGCAGGGCTCCACTTAGATGGGATGGGTAGATGGCCCCTTTGTCCCTCACCCCCACCCCTGCTCTGGAACCTGAAACTCCTTTGACTCTGGACAGGGTTTTTAATTTCATAATCAAAGAATTCACTTGGAGAAGTAATCTGGTAGGGGAATTTTACACTAAGGTGTGGATGGTTGCTATAATTAAGCTATATATAATAAGGTGGGGGATGAGCGGAGGCCATGCCCTGACACTGTCCCATTCTGTCCTGATTAACAGGCATAGCTGTTCGTACCCCCTCCCTGCCACTCCCCAGCCAGGTCTCCCCCCCAGGCTGTCAGGTAGATACCTTCCTGAGCCAGGAGCCCCTGCAATGTCCTCACCAACTTAGGAATTCCTCCGTTGGGACAGCTGAGAAGTGTAGGTGGGAAAATTCAGCAGCGGCCCTTTTTCAAGGAGAGGAGGCTGGAGATAGGACACAGCCGAGGCGCTCACACTGTCCTGTGCTTGCGGAGCCACAGACTTTGGGGACCTCAGAGCGTGTCAGGAGAGACGGGCGAGTACACGTGAAGCAGGCAGAGCAGAGTCTGACCTTTGCAAGTGCCGAGGGCATGTTTGCCACCATCCCCGCCCATCTCATGCCACTGGACACAGGAGAAAAGGTAGTTTACAGTGTTGCCCCTTGAGGTGCGGGCTCCAGCCCTGCCTGCCTCTAGAGCCTGCATTTGCAGCAGCCACGTACCAGGGCCTGTGACAAAGAATTTCCCCATGACAGCAGGCAGAGGACTGCCCCAGCGGCCTCACGTGAGGGCTGGCCAGCGGGTTGCACGTGTCGTCTGGAATCCTGTCAGGCACGCCAGGGGCTGTTTAATATTTACTGAGTCTGCCCAGAGCTGGTGAAACATCCGCCGCAGAGGGCGCTCCCTGCCCGGGCAGTTGTGACACCGGCCAGACGTGCAGCCCGATTTCGCCATCCGGAGGCTGCACACGCATCGCCTTCCGCAGCTGGGCCAGCCCTCGGAGTGGCCGCCACGCCCGCTCTATTGAAGCTCAGACCAGAGCACTGGGCCCGGAGCCTCCCTGGGAGTGGGCGCTCCCAGGCTCAGCCACGGCGGCGCGGGCAGGAGGTGTCCAGGTAGATGGGCGGGGGGCCTGGCGGAGGGTGCACACCCCTGGGCACGGGGGCCCCTGGGAGCTGGCAGGTGAGCGCGGCTCTCGCTTCAGAGCCGCTTGCCCACCCACCTGCCCGCCTGCCCACCTGCCGGGGACCCACCTCTCCGAAACCCACCTCTCTGGAGGCTGCAGCCCTGCCCGTCTCTGCCGGCCTGGAGATGGCAACATTGTGGAGGGTCTGTTCCAAGAGGTGGGTGATATGGCCTCAGGGAATGGAGGGGGGAGGGTGTACAGCCTTTGGAAAGTGTCCCTTGTCGTGTAATATATGAACATCAGCAATAGCAGGTACAGGGTTGAGCACTAATGTGGTGACAGGCTTTGTGCCCAGTGCTCTGTGCACGTACCTTACTCAAACATCACCTGATTGGAGCAGCCGTCCCTGCTCACCCTCCTTAAACGCATGATCCTGCCTTTATTTTTTTCCCTTGGCACTAAGCACTCTCTGATACATAATTTAAAAAATTATCTTACTTAACTTGTACTCATATATAGCACTTACTCTTTGCCGGGCACTGCTCAAAGCCCTTTACATTTGTTAATTCATGTAACGCTCATGGTAACCCTTCCTCTGGTTCCCATTTTATAGATGAGAAAACCGAGACCTGTGCAGAGGTTCAATAACCTACCCAAAGTCACACAGCTTGGAAGTGGGGGAGCTGGATAGAGACCCTGGTGTCTGGCTCTGGAGCCTGCCCTTTTTACCACTTCCCACGGTCTCCCCCGGGGGGCTCAGCAGCTCACAGGGGGAGGAGTTTTGTTTGTTTTGGTCACTGTCGAACCCTTATCCCCTAAAATGGTGCCTGGTGCACAGTAAGTGCTTATTTAAATATTTGTTGAATGAATGACTATCTCTCAACTCCGTGGGGCAAGTGCTCTTACTACCCCCCCTTTGACAGATGGGGAAACTGAGACTCCAGTTAAATGCTTGTGACCTCTGGGCCTGGGATTTGAACATGGGCAGCTGAACAGGAGCTGGGGTCCTATAGCTTGGCAAGGCCCCTGAGGGTCCGGGGCTGGATTCCAGGCTCTTCCTTGCTGCAGCATCCTCTGCGAGCAGTTGTCAGCATGCCTGGGCAGGGCCTGGGGTCTGTATTTCGGGCATGCTGGTTTGTAATGTGGCTCTGCAGCCGTGGAGGGGAACCACGCAGCTTGGGGCTTGGTCCCTGTCAGCAGCGGTGGCCAGGATGGCTCCTCTCTGTTGAGTCAACAGCAGGTGTTGGAGTCTGTGCTTGGAATGTGCAGCATCTGGCTGGGCTGGAAATGCAGCCGGCTGCCTGCTGAGTCTCTGGGGACCAGGGCATGGTGGTGGCCCTGTGGCCCTTCTCTTAGACCTGGTGAAGGAGAAGGAGTTGGGTTCCACTTGCCCCCCGCCTGGCTCTTCAGGCCCCAATCCCCTCTCCCCCCATGGACAGTGAGCCCTTCAGGGTGGGGCGCTGGCCGCTTGGCTTTCATCACAGCGCCTGACCTGGGGAAAGCCCTGCTCTGTGAGGGTTGGAATGAGTGAACTAGTCCAGTGCCCTTGATTTTAGACCTTAAAAATGCAGCAGCCTGTGAAGGCTCCCAGGGAGGTGCAGAGCTGGGTTTCTAGCAATAGGACATCTCTGGAGTGAAGCAGAAATGGTGACTCCCCTAAGACCATCCTTGAAGTGCTGTCCCTGGACCAGCAGTATTGCCAGCACCTGGAGTAACATTAAAATGCAAATTCTCAGGCCCCAGACTGTTAAATCTGAAACTCTGGTTGGGTGGGGGCGGGGGGTGAGGAGGCTGTCAGCAGCCTGAGTCTAAGTCCTCCAGGTGATTCTGAGGACCCCGAGAATCCTGCACCCCGCTCCCAGCTGCTTGGTTAAGATCCCAGGCTGAGGCTCTGCATACATTTGGGTTTGGGTCCTAGCCTGCCACAGAATTATTGATGAGACTTGGCTCCCATGCTTCTCCCTGGGCCAGGGGAGTGTAATATATTGACTAACCCAGGCCTGGGGTGTGGGTATGCTTCAGAATGCCTGTGTATGCGTGTCTGTGCGCATGTGTGTATGTGCATGTGTACTGATTTGTCAGGTCACCCCCCTCCAAACTACATGTACAAAGAGCAGGGCTGGGGAAGTTACCCAGAGGGAAATCGAGGTACTGTTAACAGAGGTGGCTGGATGCTGGGCAGGCAAAGCCAATAGGTGCCCACCCCATGGGTGCACCACAGGACTATGGTTTAGCCTCCTATGTTGCTTTGCCTGCATTGACAAAGCATGTTGAACAGAGAGCACTGGCATTTGGGCTGCTTGATTGTATTTCTCACTATCAGTTAATTTCTCGTATCAGGTTATTATTAGTAGTAATGGTAGTATTCTTTTAATCTTAAAATTCAAAACTTGACTTTACAAATGAGGAAACTTAGGCCCAGAGAATCTTAGCAGCTTTCCTGAGACTACACAGCTTGGTGGCGATAGGGTGGGACTCAGCTCTGGCTGCTGTGCCCAAAGCGCCTGCTCTGACCCCCTTCCCACCCCACCCCACCCCACATTTATTCTCATAGAAAGTCCATCCAGAGGAACTCGGTGAGGTCCCGAATGCCCGTGAAATCCTCCAAGATGTACGGCACGCTGCGGAAGGGGTCTGTTTGCCTGGATTCCAAGACGCAGCAAGTGAAGAAGACCTTCGAGGCGCTGAAGAGAGGCCTCAAGTAAGGGCAGGCTGTTGGAGGCCTTTGCACAGCGAACTCTGGCCTTTTGCCTGCTTGCCCCTCTCTGCCTCTCGCTGGGGAGCGTGGGTAGATCTTGTCCATAAGAGGCCGCAGAAGGAGGTCCTGGTTATCCATTTAGACGGGAGGCAACTTGCCCAGGATCCCATGGCCGGGAGGCAGGGAGTGGGCTCCAGGGCCAATGCCACCGGAGAGTCATCCCCGGCCCTCCTCCAGATGCACCCAGTGCCGGGTACAGAGTGAGAGCTGGGGTTGCTCCCGGAGGGTGCTGCCTGCCTCCAAGGTGCTCACCTCCCAGGACAGCTTCTGGTGGTTCCCGCAGGACCGCCTGTTTGAGACTTGTCTGGGGTCAACAGCAACCCCTTTTCCTGAGGACCCCAACCTCTGAGTGCCTGGGAGATAGTGGTATAAACGTGCAAATCTATGATGGAGCCCCACCCTGGCTCCCAAGTCCAAACCTCAGGTTTCCTGTCCAAGTCCCTTTGGCAGGAAAACACAACATGAGTTGTCCCCTCCCAGCGCACGGCTTTCTCTGTGCTTTCCAGAACGGGTTTTCCAGGCCCTGCTCTGGTGCTTGGCCCTGGGCATCCAGACAGCAGGACACCTGCCCTCGTCCAGAGGGAGGTGTGCTCTCGCTGACCTCCCCTGGGGCCGGGGTGAAGGTATTGTCCTCCCAAGGCCACTGCCTGGTTTTGGACCTGCGTTCAGCCTTTTCCCTGCCATGGGACCCTGCGCTGGGTTACTGGCAATCTTTGAGGGTCAGTTTGCCCATCTCGAAGATGGTTTTGATATGAGTAGAACCTGTTTGTGGGATTGTTTGGGGAATTAACAGCGATACTTCCCATTTTGCACAGTGCTGGGCATGTGGCCCACAGTGTGTGGGATCTGGAGGCCCAGAGGGTGGGGCCAGGCTTCGGGTGGGTGGGACGGCTCTGCCCTCTGCCCCCTGAGCCCGCTGAGCAGCATAGCTGCTCCCCACGTGGAGGCTGCGGCTGCCTGCAGCCCGGAACACTGGTCACGGGCCAGCTTCTTTGGCTCTTATGTCCCTTTTCCAACTCCTTTCCCTCGGTGTCCTCACAGGGAGTACCTGTGCGTGCAGCAGGCTGAGCTGGATTACCTGTCAGGACGCCACAAGGACACACATAGGAACTCCAGGCTGGTGAGACCCCTCCCCGCCCCTTCCCACCGGGGGAGCCTTGGCCAGGGTTCAGAGATGGACCCCCCTCACCCTCTTGCCTGCACCATGGGTGTGAGTCTCTGGACCTCCGAGGCCTAAGGAATGGACTTGCTTTATGTTGGAATGAATTTAACCTCAGAGGCTGGGGGCAGCTCCCCCGCCCCGCCCCACATGGTGCAGAGTTCACACATTTGAGGACCTACCTCCATTCTCTCTGTGGTTCTAACAGTAACTGTAAGGCAGGTGAGTGTGCAGAGGCATGTGTCCTAGAGGGCCCTATCTTATAGGCCTTGGCCATCTGAACACCCTGCAATCAGGATGGCTTATGCAATGCCAAGAAATTGGGTCAGGCATCTAATCTAGGGCCTGTCACAGGGGCCCTTGATGCTGTCCTTGATCATCCAGTGGCTCTGTTGTTTTCCGGCCACCTTAAGGGCTGTGGCTTTGAGGCTGCCCTGGGGCCTGTCTAGCCCAAGACACATCTGCTCTGGGCTTTTGCTACCCCCTACCGCCTTAGCACAGCCAGATTTAGACACACACACACACACACACACACACACACACACACACACACAGAGAGTCAGGACCAAAACCAAAAAATGGAATCCCAGTTAAATCTGATTTTTAGATAAACAACAAATAACTTTCCAGTGTGTCCCATGCAATCTTTGGGACATACCTATACTAAAAAAATATTTATTGTTTATTGGAACTGTAAATGTCAGTGGGTATCCTGTATTTTATCTGCTCACACTGCCAGGATCCACTGTTCCGGACCTCCATCCTTCCTGAGGGAGGCTCTTTCTTTCCGGTCTTGGGAAGTCCCTACCCCCTTTTCTCTACCCCACCCTTCTATCTTAATGGGATTAGAAACCAAAGCCAGGAGGCCTGCTGCCTGTGGGCTCCTGCTACCAGCCGGCTAGCTAATTTCCAGCATCCCTCCTCCAAAGTGCCAAAGCATAGAGCAGGGGTTGGAAAAACAGGAGGAGGAGAACCCTTCTATCAAACAGCAGCGGCCACCTCTGTATCCTGGCTCCAGCCCAAAAGACCCTGGGGGTTGGCCGGGTGGGAGACACAGGCCCCAGGCTGACAAATGTGCCACCCGCTTTGGGGAGGGAAAGATGGGCGGCTCAGTCAGGTCTCCTCCTTGGTGGGTGGGCGAGCCACACAGATGGAGGAAGGAGGCATTACCAAGATCCCACTCCGTTCCCAGCCCTTCCCAGCACCCACTGCACCCCTCTCACATGGGTGCAGAGGTTTGCCCCCCTGGCAATATATTCTTTTCATTGGTGACACCTTGGTCCCTGGCGTGGGTAGACCAGTCTGGCCTTGCCATTTCCTAAGGCCTGAACTCCTGGATGGTGCTGGCTGCCTCTCCCTACTCTCAATTCTTCTGGTCATGGCTGAAGTCACCCCTTAAGCAATCAAATCGCAGTGGTCCCTATTCTGTTGAATGCTGTGTCTTTTACTCTTCATAGCAACCCTAGGGGGCAGGTGCTATGGCTATCCCATTTTATGTGAGGAAATAGAGGCTCAGAGAGGTTGAGTGACTGCCTGGGACACACAGCTGGGAAACAGAGCCAGGCTTAGAACTGCTTCACCCAAAGCGCATGTGTTTAACCCCCCTTCTTCCTCTGCCTGGATCACGGGCCTCAGAGAATGGGGTGGCTGCTGGCTTTTAGTCCTCTGAGCTCAGGCACCCCTGGGATGTAGCCTCATGGATCTTGGGGGAGCATCCAGAGCCCTGACACCGTCTCCCTCCCCCTTCCTCCCCCACAGGCTTTCTATTACGACCTGGACAAGGTGAGTGAAACTTCCTGTCTGCACATAGTGAGCAGGGTGGGCAGCGGCTGGGCCTGGCTGGATGAGACTGGCGTCTTTGCTCCCCCCACTCCACCCTCTGGTCACCCTATAGAAGAAATACCTGGGGTCCTCCCCATCTTACAAGTGGGGAAACTGAGGCCCAGTGACGGGCTTTCCTCAAGGGTGGTGAGGGGCTGGCCTGGCTTTGAGCACAGTTCTGTTAGGGCCTGAAAGAGGGTGGTGAGAGCTGGCGGGTGGTCCAGGCTGCTTCTAAAGCATCTTCTCTTTTCCTGGGAGAAGCAAACGCGCTCTGTGGAGAGGCACATTCGGAAGATGGAATTTCACATCAGCAAGGTCGGCCTGGTTCCCAGTGTCTCAGGGTGGGGTGGGGTAGTCTCTGTCCTCGCTGGGCCTCCACTGGTCAGCAGGAGCCAGGGGGGCCCCCTGAGCAGGGGGCTGAGTGGCTGGAGATAGTCAAGGAGGAGCAGGAATTACAGAGGCTGAGCCCAGGAGCCTCTCAAGCTCAACCTGAGAGGGCTGGAAGGTTGAGACCAAGCACCCATTATATAGGTGGGAGAGTGGAAGCGCAGAGAGGGATAAGGATTGCCCAAGGTCACACAGCAAGTCCTCTAAGGTCTGAACTATGCAAATTCCTCCATGATCTTGCTTTACTGTCCCAGTAGCCCAGTAGGTAGGCAGGATAGCACAAACCCACCGCCCTGTTTACTGTTGAAAAATGGGGCAGGGAGAGGGGAAGGGCTGTCAGCTACCTGCCCAGTTCACTGGTTTACATTGTGCCCTGACTGCAGGCCAATTGCTGCCAGGCGCTGGGCATACGGAGTGGATGAGACAGATGTGGTTCCTGCCCCCGTGGGCTGTTGGTGATCCCCATGGGAGCTGAGGTGGGGACATTAGCTCAGGGGTGGCCTCTCCCAGAGGGTGAGTGACAGGCAGGTCCGGGTTGCCACCCCTCGTCGTGGGCAGCACCCACCATACTGTGCCCTGGCAGGTGGACGAGCTCTACGAGGGCTACTGCATCCAGTGCCGCCTGCGAGACGGCGCCTCCAACATGCAGCGCGCCTTCTCCCGGTGCCCGCCCAGCCGCGCCTCCCGGGAGAGCCTGCAGGAGCTGGGCCGCAGCCTGCAGGAGTGCGCCGAGGTGGGCTGCAGCGGGGCGCCAGAGGGCAGTGGGCGACCAGGCCCAGGCTCT